TATTCAATCAGACTTCCTTCCTCGAGCTACTTCTTCAAAATGCCAAAGATCTTTATCAAGAATGCCTGCGATACAACACACAGATTCAGGTAAACGACAGCAATCAGAAAAATACAATCACTTTATTTATTTTTTTGTCCCATTAACATGAATTTAAAGGTCTCATTGAGAACTTGAAACCAATGAATGTGTGAGGAGCTGCGTGTAAAACAAATGAAAACTATGAACTACGAACAACTGCTTTTCCCACATGTCTTTCTGTACAGCTAGTGTGGTCTTGAACAGGCTTAACTTTAGCACTGAGGTCACCACCATAATATACAGTCCAGAGACACAGCTGGAGAAGTGACAAAAGAACAGGAACTTTAGAAAAGGCTGAAAAAACATTAGCTGTGCGCAAATACAGTATGCTTGCCCAGTGCTTATCTGGATAGCTTGCAGACTGATGCAGAATCAGTGGATATTGCAATATGTCAAGACGTCACCAGTGATATGGATGGAGCATAAAGTTGTAATGAGGGAAGAATATTGGTGCAATTAACTCGAGTGCTGGTTCATATCAGGACACAACACTCTTCATGCATGAATGAGGCAATTCTGAATAGAACATTTATTCGCCACACACATAAATTAGGGTGGGGGAAAAAAAGAAAGAAAAATAGAGAGTCCAGGTATCTGGCGACAATATGTGAGAATGCAGTGTTTCTTATCGAATATCCTAATCCAAACCCCATGCATCAAATTTAGAGCTGACAGAACTTATCCTCCCATTCCATGGATATTGAATACTAAAGCCAGTCACTTCCAAGCGAAAAGCCAAATCTAAGGCTCTTCCCTTTAATTAATCCACATTATTTGGAGTTATTCGTATGAGAAAAAAAAAAAGAAAAAAAAAACATCATTCACTGTGGAACAGATTTAACCTCTTGAAATATACAATACCGCAAATGTAGGAGAGAAATCATTCATGGATGTTTTTGGCTAAATGTTTATTTTAACTAAATGAAGCTCCAGACAATGAATAAGTCCAATGCCGGAAAAAAAACATACAAAAAAATATGGTGTTCAATTTGACCACATCCAGAATCCTGATATCATAATAAGAAAATATTTTTAAAAAATTTAAAGGCTTCACTGCCTATACTGTTGCGACTCCCCAAAAATATAATATACATGAATTAATTGGAAATATACATAAATATTTCACAAATATGTAAAGTATACTTTACTTTTTGGAAATAATACATACTACCATTAACTTTAGACCAAAGGCAAGCCCATTGCTGCTATTTAAAACTGACTTAGCACAGCAGATGTTTTTCAACCAATAAACTTTCAAAAGTGCTAATCATGCATTGTGTCTGCTGCCTCTGCAGGTAGAATGAGCGCCAATTTAAATCAAAGACACAAAAAAAGTGCAGCAGAAGTGTAAAAAATTGTCTTGACTTTCACAAACTTTTTAGGCTTCAACAGCACAATAGTATTAATCACACCAAACCACAGTGCATCACAGAAATGCTAATCATGAGCTTGGCTGCCACTTCCAATTAGGAGCTTCCACAAAGATCAATCCTGACCCTCAACTCGACTTTATAAAACAGCCAGAGTGTGTGAAACTTTATCTGATGCTAAGGACTGTCAAGAGACCGCATAAAAGTTCTGCGGTCACACAGACCTCAGAGTTGGCCGTAATTATCACGGTGGGGGTGTGAGGTACCTCAGGAGGGCTGTCAGATCGTAGGACTCTTCTTCGAAGACCGTATTTCGGTTTCCTGCGGATCTGCTATGAAGGAGTTTGTATTCCACATTCAGAGATTAATCAATCATTTAGGAGGACCAGATTTTCTGTAGCCATTTCATTCTGTCAAGACACATCCCTGAACTGTGTGAAACAGAAACATTTCAGTCAGAGCCTGCGTTCCAAAACTATCACAACCGATTACAGCTCATGAAAGAGAGAGGTCTGGGAACCAGAAAAAAAAAAAAAGAGCGAGGAGATTTTAAAAGTGAGGTTAGGGGATGGGTGTGGACCACCAGAATGCTTGTAACAGGCAATGACTTTAGGTACACTGTCAATTCAGCATGCAAGCTAGAGAAGCTGTGTCTCTGGGAAAGCTTAGACAAAGAAAACCTGACCATAACATAAAAATAATACAAAATATTTTACCATAAAAAAACACCGGTTTGATTTAGCTACCCTACGTTAAAAAAGCACTGCTCTTGAAACGAAAATAAGGATGTGGTTTTTGTACGTGAGCTTAGACAAATAGCAGCTTCTCACAATCACAAAGCAAACAGGAGCTCGTACACAAAACCCTATATGAAAATCCCTACCACTCTCTTTCTCAGTCTACGTGCAGCCTGCAAGCAGATGGGTCCGAGTCCTCTGAAAATGCGAGGTCGCCATAGCAACCACTCACATACATTTGGTCTCTTTTCAGTGAAAAGATATGCAGAAGGGGCAATAGTGCTTCTTCACCTTCCATCTGTCTGGCTAGCTGCCTCCATGCTTGGTGCACTAGCACTACCATAAGTGAAGCGAATTCCTTGAGAAGGAGGGAGGCTTGGTGGCTTACGGAGGTATTTCACAAAGCAATCCACCATCTGCTGACCACTGCCAGGTTGACAGTTGAAAGGGAGGGGGAGTCTGGCAGGTCTGACCTCCAGACCAAAACAAGATGTGCAATTAAATCAAGATGATGAAGGCCATCGACACACCTGTATACAGAAAGATCTCCATTATACACAAGCACTGCCAGTTTTCTGTGCTGTTTTGATCTTAAAGAAATAGCTCACCCAAAATGACAATTCTGCCATTATTTATTAATGCTCATGTTGTTTCAAACTTGCCTGCTGTTATTTTTCAGTGAAACATTCAACAGGGATGCACAATACTGTGTAGTGGTACCATAATGGTTATTGCCGATATTGGATATTTAATTGGTGCTCATTTTCCTTATTTTTACATTTAGATTACCTTTGCCGTCATCTAATGTTCACTTAAGAGTCTTTTGTAAATCATTAGCAAGTGTAAAATTAATATCATTTGTTTCATTATGTACATTATAATACTGTGATGCATAAATTCACTTGTAGCATTTAAAATTATTGATTTAAAAAATATATTTTATTTTATTTAGACAAAATAGCATTACGAATATAAAATAGCAATTCATCTGTTAAGAACCAAGAATGACTAAAAAATATATAAAATAGTCCACACAACATGTGTGTTGAATCCAGAGTAAAAGATTGAAATCGAAGTCACAATTTAGATTCAATTGCTTGTTTACGAATCACTGATCCTGTCAGAGCAGTTGTGGCCTTAACAACTCACTGGAGGGCAACACTGTCATTGAATAATGACATGAATCTGTTCCTCACACAAAGCTATCATATAGCTTGATCAAAGACCAGTAATATAAAATTATTAGAAAATACAGCATGGACTATTTTTATGGTGCTTTTAGTGTAAATTATTGGAGCTTAACAGCTGTGATCACTAGAAACTGGCCTTGTATGATGTTTAAAGATTTCCTAAAATATTAAATTATTTGTTTCAAAGAACAAAGTAATGCAGGTTTGGAATGATAAAAACAATGATAAAATGTTAATTTTCCGTTAACTATTCTGAAAAAAATCCAAAGACACAGTAGGACAGAGGGACATTTTATGCACCAAGCCCAACGTCCTTGGAACTTACAAACTATATTCAAACTCAATCTGGTCCTGACAACATAACTGGTCATTGCGATTGCAGTTGGGATGGTTGTGGTTAGGGTGGCCACAGGGCCAGGCTCAGTGTGGCCTTGACTGTTCCTCTTTTAATGCAGTGATGCAGAGGAGGAAGAAGAAATCACTATATCTGTGGGTGACCAGAGTGCTCCAGATGTGGGATTCTAGAACATTCCTTTGAAAAAGTTGAAGAAAAAAAACATGAAGACAGACACAAGAGAAAAAAAAACAAATGATAAATGCCATGTAATTTACAAATCATCATTTCAGGGGCATGCGTGTTGTTTTTAGGAAGCAAATCAATATTCTTGGATAACTATAAATTAGTCGGATAAACTCCTCTGACAGCTATTAGGGGATATATCACCAAAATCTATTTCTCTGTGGTCACAGATTTGCTATTTCGAGTGTGGAAAAAGTGAGCACCGCGGTGGCTTTATTGAACTTTTGTGACCTCCAATTAACACTGTTTTTGTGTAAAGGAAGCCCTGTTTTTTCTTCTTCTTTTTTACCTGCCTCTTTTACAACTGGGCGTTAAAGGGGACAATCCAGCCCAGAGGAAAACAGATGTCATGGTCTTAAAAGCCCTATTTTCAACTGTCATTAGCCAGTTAGTGACAAAGTTATGTAGGCCTACTATAAGTTTGACAGAGGGGGAGAGTTATTGCATTATAGGCCTTAAGAAACTAAATAAATGATGCATTCTTTCTGAAAAGCATACATCCACAACCCCACAAAAGTCTACATTTGAATGGCTTTGAGTCACTGGGTTACATTTAAGTCTGTAACATGCCATTCAACATGAATGAATGACTATGGCTTGCATAGGAAGTGGACTTTGTTCCACATAGTCCAACTGTAACTTATATTCAGTCAATTTTAAGCTTATCACTCACTTTTTTAAGATCAAATAAACAATGCATATATAAAGTCTGATTCAAAAACAATAATAAAAAGACTAACGACGATGAAACTTTTCTACTTCACCCTCCATAACATTTGTTTTTCACATAGGATCTATACTACATTTCCAACGACGTGACTCAACGTAACAAGATACTGTTTGTAACAGCAACACGTCGGCTTCAAGGTAAACAGCGTAGCAATTCACGGGTAAACTGTATATTTGGGAAGTTCAGCGTGTATACAACGACGTCTGCGTGCACATTTCTATCGTGTTGAATGTCACTCGACACCGCTGTTCGGATAATTCACAACAATACATCTCTCTGATCATGCCATGAACCATTAGAACGTGCACATACCTGAACAATGTGAGGAAGAACATGCGAGGAAATCCTCCGGCGTGTTTTGCAGAATTCTACTTTTCCACTACAATTCCCGAGTTCAAATCCACCGTGGATGTTCCAGCAGGAATTTTCCCACCGAAGGAAAGAGCAATGTGAGCGGAGGATGGAAGAAAGGGAGGGATAACAGAACAGAACGGAGGCGGCGCCTTCACCGTCACGAAACTTCCAGCCTGGAAGCATTTTGTCAACACATCATAGGCTAGCCTACAATAACCTGCATTTTGCAACAAAAAAAAATATGTGAGAAAACTGACAGTGCCTTACAGAAATGTAACAATGTTACATAGTGTATGCCAAAATACCACAGTTAGTTTTACTAAACCTGCAATGAAAATGATTGAAACTTAGACAAAATATAAAAGAAAATATAAATATGAAAGAAAATCAGTCCAGTAAATGTTCATCCTGAGAAATTAACACAATATAAAAGTCACTCTTTCATTTAATTTATGAAATCACTAAACATTTGACACCAAAAAAAAGCTGTTTACTCGCTGAAATGTATGAACTCCCAAGAGGGCCAAAGATACATAGAATATTGTGTACAAGTTTTTCAGCAAAGTTTTGATTTGTAATGTAGAGGCCTTCATGTATGCCTATCAAATATGATACACCAGGCTTTATAGGGTTAACACAATGGATTGTGCACATGTGGAATGAGGTTAGATATGTATTATGATGCCGATTTTGTTGTTTGTATTTATATTGTTTTAAGCGAATTAGATTATATTCAAGGATTAAATGTAGCCTATACATTTTGTCTGTTCATTTAACACAAAAAGGTCCAGACACATTTTATGACCTCAGCCTGTAACAAAACAACACTGTATTTGAATCTCTTTAGCTTCAGCCCCACAAACTTGTGCAGCAGTTCCAAAGCTAAAGGTTTGATCTCATTGATAGTGGCAGCATAGATTACCCATTAACAAACCGTGCAGGCAGCAGATAAGGCCACCTGCCAAAGCAGCTACATCTTTCTCTATCCTATCATCAGGAGGGGTCTGTCTCTGTTCTGAAAATCACCCCCTACTGGGTGGATATAGTGCGAGACAGAAGGGGTGTAAAGAGCAATGTAATTGGTAGCAGAGGGAGAAAGTTTGTCAGTGAGACTGGGTGTATTTAGAGCAAGTCACAAGAGAATGGGTGGAACATAGTTTTTGTAGAAAGAACAGGATCCGAGGCAAATTAAAGAAATTAAAGCAAAGCAAAGCCAAATTCATTCACATTGTAAGAACACACAGAGGTTATCAAACTGACAAAAGTAGCTATATGCACCGCTATATCTAGGCCTATACAAAAACATGCTGAAGAAAAACAAAATGCCTAAAAGTGACCTAAACGTCCTCTAGTGGGAGCCATATCCCCAGTAATAACTGAGCGGACACATCACCTTTGCCATAATATTATATTTTTGGATATATCATACACACAGTTATTTAAAACCAAAGCTCTTCTTTCATGAGCTCCTATGTACATTTCTGTACAATATTGAAAGTAATTGGCAGAGAGATGTTGAAAATTTCACAGTAACACAAAAGCAAAATTGAAACCAAACTATTTATTATTTGTTGTTGTGAATACAGTATTAGTCCGAAAAAACTATAACTTGACCTTTGTTAGTGTGAGGCACTGATGAATTAGTGTGTCACTTTGATAGGTTGTGTTTCAAAAAGGAAATCAAGATATTTCCTGTTGGATTTTTGTGTTTTACATAGAGAATTGTGTGTTGTGGTTTGCAAAAAGTGTTTTATGAAATTGAAAACTGAGTCGAAGCCCGAGAATTACTTGTCCCGTAGATCTGCTGCATGTGCGCTTTAACCTCGTGCACGAGCAGATCGTTCAAATAGGGCCCTTGGTGTGTGGTTCTGGTGTTTGGGTGTCAGGTTTAAGAAATTGTGTGACAAGTAAGGATTTTGTGTGTAAGCAGTTGGAAAAAAACCCAGTAAAAGCAGGCTTAAAATAAACAAAAATAAAAGATGAATATGATGCTGAAACAGAAAAAAGCAATTAGATATCAAGTATTACAGTTTTTCACAATTGTTAAAACACTAAACCCCATTCTCTGAACCAAATTCTCAAAGGCCTAAACCCATTTGTCAAATAAATCACTCTTTCTGTAAAACCTTAACAAGTTCAGGCAGTGGGACACCATTTGCTAATCTCATGCACTCTTTTTTACAAAAATCTAAACACATTCTTACTCACTCTGTTGCAAAACAGTAAACACAAGTGGCAAGAGTTAAACACAACCACAAAGTTGTCATCGTTTACACACAACTTCTCAAAATTGTTCACATTTGTTCCTAATGATGTGATCAAACCAATTGCACATAATAGGCTACAAGTCCACAGTGCCAAAATTGACTCAAAATGTTGCACTGAATGGTGATGACAACAATGGATGGAAACAATATACAGTTTTTCTGAATTGCTAAAACACTAAACGCCATTCTCTGAACCAAATTCTCAATAGCCTAAACCAATTTGTCGAATAAATCACTCTTTCTGTAAAACATTAAACAAGTTCAGGTAGTTACAGTTTTTTCAAATTGCTTACACAAAATTTCTGAAACTATGGCTCAATTTCTTGAAACTCTGAACACAAAACACTACTCTCTTGTGTTTTGCTTGTTCAGTGTGCAGGAGTTTGTCAGACTTGTATGTGCACAAATACACTGTATATACAGTATATATGCATAATTTATGAATGTTACGGTTATTGAACTGAACTGAATCAACACTGAAGTGACTTGAGCTGAATATTGACACAATTGGCTTGTTGGCCAAGCTGCTTCTCAGGCGATTTTGAATTTGTTACTATTGTGAAGCTGCTGTGAAACAATCTATATTGTACCTTGTATGTATATTCAATATATATATATATATATATATATATATATATACATATATATATATACACTCACCGGCCACTTTATTAGGTACACCTGTCCAACTGCTCGTTAACACTTAATTTCTAAGCAGCCAATCACATGGCGGCAACTCAGTGCATTTAGGCATGTAGACATGGTCAAGACAATCTCCTGCAGTTCAAACCAAGCATCAGTATGGGGAAGAAAGTTGATTTGAGTGACTTTGAACGTGGCATGATTGTTGGTGCCAGAAGGGCTGGTCTGAGTATTTCAGAAACTGCTAATCTACTGGGATTTTCACGCACAACCATCTCTAGGGTTTACAGAGAATGGTCCGAAAAAGAAAAAACATCCAGTGAGCGGCAGTTCTGTGGGCGGAAATGCCTTGTTGATGCCAGAGGTCAGAGGAGAATGGCCAGACTGGTTCGAGCTGATAGAAGGGCAACAGTGACTGAAATAACCACTCGTTACAACCGAGGTATGCAGCAAAGCATTTGTGAAGCCACAACACGCACAACCTTGAGGCGGATGGGCTACAACAGCAGAAGACTCCACCGGGTACCACTCATCTCCACTACAAATAGGAAAAAGAGGCTACAATTTGCAAGAGCTCACCAAAATTGAACAGTTGAAGACTGGAAAAATGTTGCCTGGTCTGATGAGTCTCGATTTCTGTTGAGACATTCAGATGTTAGAGTCAGAATTTGGCGTAAACAGAATGAGAACATGGAACCATCATGCCTTGTTACCACTGTGCAGGCTGGTGGTGGTGGTGTAATGGTGTGGGGGATGTTTTCCTGGCACACTTTAGGCCCCTTAGTGCCAATTGGGCATCGTTTAAATGCCACGGCCTACCTGAGCATTGTTTCTGACCATGTCCATCCCTTTATGGCCACCATGTACCCATCCTCTGATGGCTACTCCCACCATGTCACAAAGCTCTAATCATTTCAAATTGGTTTCTTGAACATGACAATGAGTTCACTGTACTAAAATGGCCTCCACAGTCACCAGATCTCAACCCAATAGAGCATCTTTGGGATGTGGTGGAACGGGAGATTCGCATCATGGATGTGCAGCCGACAAATCTGCGGCAACTGTGTGATGCCATCATGTCAATATGGACCAAACTCCCTGAGGAATGCTTCCAGCACCTTGTTGAATCTATGCCACGAAGAATTGAGGCAGTTCTGAAGGCAAAAGGGGGTCCAACCCGTTACTAGCATGGGGTACCTAATAAAGTGGCCGGTGAGTGTATATATACAGTGCGCACTGCTCAGCATAAGTGAATAATACACCCATGCTAAAGTTGACTAAAAAGAGGAATAAAAAAATCAGCTTTTGGAAATTAATCTTAATGCCTTAATTAAAAAATGAGGAAAAATCCAACTTTTAGGGACACCAATTTCCTTTGTGAATGAATAATGTATCGTAAATAAATAAATGTTCTTCCTTAAATACAGGGGGCATAAGTCTGGACACCCCTATGTTAAATTCCCATAGAGGCAGTTATTTCATGGATCCAGGATGCATCCTGATAAAGTGTCCTTGGCCTTTGGAATTAAAATCGCCCCACATCATCACCCACTCACATTTTCTTCAGGAAATGTACATTCACGACATGTTTAGAGTTGTTAAGACCACAGGTATTTTTTACAAGTACAAGTATTTACCACAAGTACAAGTATAAGGGAACTTTGAACATCTTTTGCACCGGACAAAGAAAATGTATGAAGCTAGAGAAAGGTCAAAAGAGCTGCGTTAGAGGAACCTGCCACATAAAGGAAGCAAAGTGGGAGACAGACTTAGGAAAAGTCCAAGAGCCAGGATTTAAACTCAGGTCACCCAAAAGCACAACAGTGCCAGATGTCAGCGAGCTGCCCAAAAGGCTATCGGCGCCAAGTATCTGGTGTCACTTTTGTAGGCCCTATCACAATCAATCCACCTGTCGGAATCTGTTCCCCCACCCATATAATGAGAGACGTTGATGTAGTGGCTTAAAAGATGCTGGTTTAATTCCCTGGAGTTTCACCACCATAAGTTTGATAAATATTAGAACCTCAATGTGTAGGAAACATAATCTGACGGCAAATAATCCAGCTGTCAGAATCTGTTCCCCCAACCCCCTGATAAGAGATGTTGATGAAATGACTTAAAAGATGCTGATTCTATTCTGTGTGTAGATGGAGCTTAAACAGGCATACTTTAAAGATTTATTTTTGGGCGTTTTTTTTTTTTTTTTTGCCTTATGTCACAACAGGACAGTTTTAAACAGGAAGCATGAGACAGGATCAGAAAAAATCCAAGAGCCCAGATTTGAACTCGGGTCACCCAAAAGCACAACAGAGCTAGATGTTAGCGAGCTGCCAACTATCGGCGCTAAGTCGATAGTCTAGTCTATCGACTTAGCGCCGAGAAAAAAAAAAAACTGTAACATGAAACAACGGATGGAAAAAATCTGAGAGGCAGAGGAGGAAGAGTATGTGTAAGAGGTGGTGGATGAGGAGGAAGAGGATGAGCATGAGAAAGTCCAAGGTGTGGAGAGAGTTTTCAAGGCTGGATCCGGCACACCAAAGGTTTTTTTTTTCCTTTGCCTGGCAAGAGACAACTTTGCCTGTAATGTGGACAAACTCTTCAGGCTGGACCCAACATGAAGTCATGATGCTGAGGTAGGATGAATCTCTCATTGACCTTGCAATGAAGTTGCACAACTCTTTTGAGTGTCCTGTAACATACTTTTTATTTACAGTTTTCTTTGACCTTTTGGCCTTTTGCATTTGGACCACTATATTTTTAGACATTTAATATTACACAATATTCAATACAATATTCTTGCAGTACATACAGTAATATATTACTAAGTTCTGATACTTTTAATATATATATATATTATATATAGTTACTAAAACTTTTTTATGCAAAAATTGTTTAATGTATATAATATGTTTTTTTTTTTCTGTGACTACGTGCTCTGTATGCTTTGTTATCCATTTTTTTTTTATTTAGTGTCTAAAGAATAGTGTTTATTGACTTGCTGTGTGCATGATCTGAAAGCATTGTTTGATTTTGAGTACAAGTGAAATGGTTTTGAGGCGATTGTTTGATTTTGCCAAAGAAGTCAGTTTTTTTTTTTATGTAGTTTGAAGTTTTGGTTGTGAGAAAATAGTTGAAGTTTTCAAGAAAATGTGTCTTAGCAATTGTGAAAAATTGTAAATGATAATAAACAGTTATGTTTAGCCTATAACGTTTAGAAATAATTTTGGGATTAGTTGTTTAGAAATAAGATTTTATTGAACACTTTTTGGTGTAACATAAAAAAGGTGAAAAAATGTATCTTTTTCAATAGTTTTGTTAGCATGAGTTTTATTTCAACCGTGCAGGATTAAGATTTACCAGAGCTTCCTCCTGGGACTACATAATGTTTTCTTCCTGTAGATGGTTCATCAGAACACACCCATCCTTTACACAACATGGACCACCTCCTATTGCTTGAAATAAATGACCTTATTTTTCCATGCTCTTTACGCAGAAATTATTATAAAGCAGGGACACATAAGAAATATACCACACCTGCACTCCACCCAGCAACTCTGTCCCAAAATACACACATTTTCCACTTTCCTTCCAAAGAAGATTAATGGTACATTATATTCATGGAACACAAAATCAGTACATTATCACAGTCAGCAAACTTCAACTGTGACTTTACTTTTACTTTTTCAAAACCATGAAAGAATGGCCACAGAGAGAGAGAGAGAGAGAGAGAGAGAGAGAGAGAGAGAGAGAGAGAGAGAGAGAGAGAGAGAGAGAGAGAGAGAGAGAGAGAGAGAGAGAGAGAGAGAGAGAGAGAGAGAGTCAAACTTTAATTTGTACGTATATCTATTTTCTACTATCTATTTTGTTTCCATTTACTGTATATGTTCTTATAAGGGGGTGCATTTAGGTTAGTTGTTATGTCTCTCATTGTGTTGCTCTGCTATTAATAAGAGTTTTAGCTGTGGTCTGAGAGTGTGGTTGAAGTGATCTGAACACCCTGACAGCTGGGTTGAAGTCTGTAAAGAGCATATGTTTCTCACGATCGACCAAGAGGAAAGTATTATATGTCTTCTATATGGGGGTAAAGAATACGTAATTCATTCATTAATTTTCTGCTTTATTTTACCAATAACACTTTTGTTTGTAAGCAGCCGTTCTGGTCTCTGATCTTTGTTGTTGACTCACCTTGGGATTTAACAAATGCGATAAGAGTGAGACGAGACACCAGGCAGCAAGATACAAATCAGGAGATGTTCATCAAGTCACACCAACACAGTCTCACAGACAATGTGAGTTGACTTCATGTTATGCTGAAAGGATACTGCTCATGATACTAATGCTCAAGAAATTAATTAGTTATAATGGTAACACTTTCCAATAAGGTTCATTAGTTAACATTAGTTTTAGTTAGCATGAACTAATAATGAACTGCATGTATACAGCATTTATTAATCTTTGTTAATGTTAATTTCAACATTTACTAATACTTTATTCAAATCTTGTTAACATTAGTTAATGCACTGTGAACTAACAATGAACAGCTTTATTTTTATTAACTAACGTTAACAAAGATGAACAAATACATTAACAAATGGATTGCTCATGGTTAGTTCATGTTAGTTAATAAATTAAATAATGTTAACTAATGAACTTTATTGTAAAGTGTTACCGTTATAATAATGCAATTTTATCAAAAAGGAATACACAAGTCTATGGAATTTTTTTAATTTCTATTGATATAAGACCATGCTTGACTTAGGGCATGTCATTGAGCATGTTTAATCTCTTCTTAACTGAATTCTCTCTGTTGCTTTTGAGGCACAATTTATGAAGCAGAATCCAAAGACCGTGCGGATGTGGATGATTACCTGTCTTTTGTTCAGTGTGGGTCTGGGTAAGAAAGTTATCACTAAAGAATTCAATAAGAATTCAAGGATAGTAGCAGAAAGAAATATGATATCAACAAAGCAAAAAAGTTTGTAACTTTTGTATTGTTTGCATGTGTTTGTTTGTTTGTTTTTTTGTTCTCATCAAATCATTTAATGTTCTTGTCCATTTAGCAACATTAGAGAATGACAGAGACTTTAAGATGTGTGGAATATGGCGCCATGGCAACGCATCCCGAAATCTGAAGTATGATTTGAAAACAGGCTGTGAGAAAATTGAGATTTTAGCAAATGAGAGCACACTCTCTATTCGGGGCAGGATCACAGCGAAGTGCACGCGGTCTTCATCCATTCACCTAGATTCAAACGCTCTTCAAAATCAAAGTAATTTCTGTGTGTTCTGGGAGCCACTGCTGGACCTGCTGATAGTGGAGGTGAATGGAAAGAATCACACTCTGTGTGAACCAAAAGGCCTTCAAGGATCCTGCTGCACTGACCTCTCACTGGGGGACCAGAAAGATGCTAGTGTGTATGGTATTATGAATGGCAGCATCTGTGGTGATATCATCAGGAACGATGTAATGGAAATATATACATTTCAAGGGGGTTCAATCAACTGCAGTAAGAACCTTTAATGTTATGTATTATGTTAATTTTTGTCAAAGTTTCAGATATAAAAAGTTACACTGAGTGAGTTTAGTATTTCTGAGTTTGTAACTAGTTTGGTTTCAGTTTATTTCATCTGTTTTCCCACTTACAGAAGAGAAGTTCTGTGATGAGGCAAGTCAGAAGCCCAGAGGAGCAAACATGTAAGCCAATTATCATTTCACTAGTTCACCTGGCCATTCAGCCTTAAAGGTTCATAGTAAACTACTGTAACTTGGCTTGCTGTCCTTGGAGGAGGCTTGAACCCGGGGCTCGGCTTGAGCTCAAACTTTAAGCTGAGTTTAAACTTCATTTGAACTTCATTTTATTTTAGTTCGGTAGTTTCACTATTACTTTAGAGTGTTATGAACTGATGTGTTCAATCATGCAGATATCACCTCTTCCTTCCTTGTAAGAGTGCAATCATGATGAGCCTAAGTCTGAGTGAAAAACAGAGGTTGAGCCACAAACAGGAAGCTAAACACAAACGCTGCAGTGGCCTTATTAGTTATATGTTCACTATTATGTAATGCATGGATCAAGTGCACCAATTGATCTTTAATTCATTTATAACATCTTCAAAACTTGCACTTGTGTAATCATGTTATTTTTGCTCCATTCATGTCTGAATATGTAAGAATTACTTATATGGTAATACCTACAGAAAGTAACATTTGAGTATAGGCTATCTGTTATAGTGTGATCAAGTCTAAATGTGTGTGTGTGTTTGCAGGATAGAGGAAGTAGTAATGAAATCCGGAACAACAGGTCATGTGGATCTACCTTGTGCTCAGAGCACAGTTATTGAGATGGAAGAGGGCTTCACAGGACTCAATTTAACTCTGCCAGTAAATGACATTCACATTTTTAGAAGTGGAAATTTGAAATAACATTTGAGTCACAAGAATGTCTCTTTTTTAGAACATGAATGTATACAAAGTCACGTTCAAGTCTTTGATAAATGTGCTACATTTAGGCCCAATGGATTGTAGCCCCAAATACGATACCTTCCGTTTATCTTCCCTCGAGCCTGAAATCCATATCTAGGATTAAATCCAAAGTAGTGTGTACTTACTACAAGGACCTAAGGTTACTTCAGGTATGACAATATTTGTTAAGCATAAATAATCATGTGGATTTATGGGTTACAACAACATAATGATACAACAGTATTTGTGATCTGTAGGGGGGGCCGTCCGATTCATCTCTTCTGGATTATGTAGTTGGACTCTCTATGGAGAATGAGATTATCCAAAACCTCCCAGAACCTGTCAGAATCCGGTTCCATCACTCTGCTCTCCCAGTACGTCTGTTTCTTTGTACATCATCTGTTCTAGAGTCACCATGTCTGTTTAAGTGCATTACATGTGCTTATCGCGCATATGACATATTATTGAATACTTGCTACTCTTGCTACTTTTCTTTACTCTTTATTGTATTTGTTACTGCCACTTATTGTATATTTATAATGGTATTTATTGTTCTGCATATGAAATAGCATGCCACTTTAATATCCCAGTGCCCTCAACTTTGTGTTTATATTTGTGTATATGGTTATGTTTACTAAATTTTGTATGGTCCTGCAATGTTACTGTAAGTCTGAACCTCTTCACAAGCATTTCAATGCCCAGTTTCCCCAGTGTAAATTGAGCAAATTACAAATAAGTCCTCTTGACTCTTAAAAATATATTGATGTTTTTATTGCATTCCACAGTCTAACTACTCTAAACAATGTGTTTCATGGGACACAAGAAAAGGTGCGTGTATAGATCTTCAAACTCAACTGGTATCAAATACTGATCGTTCTTCTCAAACTCGTATTCTTTCTTTTTAGACAGTGAAGTAACCTGGAGATCAGAGGGTTGCGAGACAGTTATCATAAGCGTAACAGAGACAGAGTGTCGTTGTAATCACTTTGCTTACGTCACTGTTCTTATGGTGAGCAGCAAAGAAAAATATTAATAACATAAATATATAATTCAAATTTTATTTTGGCTAGAATGGGTGTTTTGACTCTGACTGCTGTTAATATTTCTCATTGAGACCCAAAATATGTGAACTAAATGACTAGTAGCCTACTTCATAAATGGTCTTTCCCTCTTTCTTGATAATGTGCATACTATCAAGTTTGGATGTCAGTGGGACAGCTTGCTTAATGGATTACACCATAGAAAAGGATGGAATGCTTTGTCTATTTCTCCATTTCTTTAGCAAGTGGAACAGAAGGCTACAGTTCGCCATCTAGAGGCTCTGATGTTCATTACAGCTGTGGGCTGTACCCTGTCTTTAGTTAGCTGTTTGGTTCTCTTCTATTGGCTGTGTAAACGCAGGTAACTAGGACTTCTTTGGCTTACATGGAATGCTTATAGCTAAGCCTTGCATGGCTATTGTGAATCTGCCCAATTGATTATTTATATTTCTTGTTTTGTCTCCATTGGTTTCTCTGGTCTCCAGAGGAAAGAAAGATCAGTCCTTACTGGTGCATCGTGGGCTAGTGGTGGCAACATTTATTTTGTGCCTGTGCTTCAGCCTTACCAGTACACTAGCAAACATTGGAAATGAAACCGTTTGTAAGATAACGGGAACTCTTTTGCACTACTCGCTACTCAGTACACTCTGCTGGATGACTGTGGAAATGTGTCACACGTTTTTGTTAGTGTGCTGTGTATTCACCTCACGTCTTCCTCCATGGGTCTTTTACTTGGCAGGCTTTGGTGAGATATTTGAATCATAAATTGTTATGTCCTGAGAACCCTTTCCAAAACTTCTAAATTTCCTAATTTTTAATGAAGGTAAATAATTCTACATTTGTTCCCCCTTTAGGTATTCCAGCTGTACCAGTTTGTAGATTGCTCTCTATTGGTGATATTTATGGATATAGGAATATTATGACAAGTGAAGATGCCACCAGTCTATATTTTATGTAAGCAGACTTACTTAAAGGTGCAATGTGTAATAATTTTGAGTATCTATGAACAGAAATGCAATATGACATCCATAACTATGTTTTCAGAGGTGTATAAAGAACTTACTTAATAAACCGTAATGTTTTTATTACCTTAGAATGAGACATTTATATCTACATAACCGCGGGCACCCCCTTCTATGAAGGTCGACATATTGTGACGTCATGTTTCTACAGTAGCCGAACGCGAACAAACAGCGCTACAGAGCGCGTTTCGTCACTACCTTGAAAGAGAAGCCGCAGAAACCTAGAAGCTAGCCATAAACAACGTGAGTAGTGACTTTTCCCTTGTCAGTGGTGTAAAATATGTAGTTGGACTGTTTCATGTAACTTAGTTCTTCTCCCTCGCTGTGTTATGGCGTTGCTATGTGTGGATAAATATGCTGGTTACGTTCGTGAGACAGCTGATTAGTACTCTTGTCATTGACCGTAAAACAGTATATTACAGGAATCACCAACCCGTCGATCGCGGTCGACAAGTCGATCTTGGAAGCATTTTAAGTCGATCGCGAAGAGTTTTCAAAATCAGAGAAAAAAGCCTATTGTGTGTAGTAAGTGGTGTCTAGGGGATGCGGAGGCGCGCGCGCTGTTACAATCATGTCATTTTTGCCGCCCCGCACCTTTGGGCTCATGCGGACGCGTCGAGTTTAAACAAGGCTTTACGCTTTAACCAGCTCAGCCACAGTAACACCTCATATTTAGCCAGCTAAACTTTTACTACCCTGTTAGAAAACATATATAGTTGCATAGTTTCATGTGGTTCTTCTCCCTCGCTGTATTATGGGTTTGCTATGTGGGGAGAAATGTGCTGGTTACGTTTGTGAGACAATCAGCTGATTATTAAGACCCTTGATCCTCACCTGACTATGGCTTTGTAAACTTTATCCATGATGTGGTTTATAATGGACTGTGGTACAGAAACAGTGACAATGTTACACACTCTTGTCTTACTCTGGCTATTCTCTGCTGTCTCAGACGACGATATGTTTGTCCCGTTTTAGCCACCGTAGCTTCTTCGGAAGGGAGGGGTGAGCAGTGGGCTGAGCCCTTAGTGCAAACTCGCAACCGAACCGCTAGATGTCGCTAAAATCACACACTGCACCTTTAAGCTGTAACCGTAACCATGCAGTTTGCGAAAATATATATATATATATATTTTTTTAATTATTATTATTTGATTTTTTTTTTTTTACTTAGATGTTGGATGGTCGATTCTGACAGGAGCAGATTGTCCCATTTCCTCATTAATATTGGTTTATTGGCAGTTGTGTTGAGCTCTGGTGCAGTCATGCTTTTCTTTGTGGCTCGGAACCGACCTGAGTGGAGGAAGAACCGCATGGCTTTTCTCAGTATCTGGGGTCTCACTTGTCTGTTTGGCACAACGTGGGGCCTCTTCAACTTTGTTCTTCTCACAGAGGTCACCCTCTTCCTTTTCTGCATTAATGCCTGTCAAGGTGAGTTTTTTTTTTCATTAATACATAATTGTTGCTTAAAACATATAAGAAAGATCGGTAACACTTTAGAATACTGTTCCTTCATTAATGAATAACTACACAGGAACAAATTTGAGTAACGCACTATTAACATTAGTACTACTATTAACTAACAAGAAACTCAAGATTAACGAATTAGTAAGTATTAGCGCTCAGTCGAATGTGGTAGTTCACTGTTAGTAACTGATATTTTTCATACGTCACTGAAGACTAAGAACTATACAGGTTCATAATTAATATTAATAATGCATAATGTATAATATAAGGTGGTAACTCTTATTAGTAAGTAATCAAGTGTTACTGCATCCTTCTGGATCAACTAATAATTTGGATCAGTATTCTAAAGTAAAAAGCTTGATAACTACATAATATTGACTGAAGTCACTGTAAGCTTTTGAAGTTTTTTATAAGATTTTGGATAGTAATGACTCAACTGTTACTTTACATCTTTCTAAAGGAACTACTCGTTATTTGGATCAGTATTAAAGTGAAGATCATGGGAACACACTAGTAATGACTATTCAAAATCTTACAAAAGCTTACAATGACTTCAGTCAATATTAGGTAGATATCATGTTTTTCACTTTAGAATACTGATCCAAATAATTAGTAGTTCCTTTAGATGTAGTAGCACTTGAGTCATTACTAGTGAGTTACCATTACAGTTTATTATAAATTATGCATTATTCATGTTAATTATGAACCTGTATTTAGTAGTTCTCTGGGAGGTATGAAAAAAATAGTAGTTACTGATTAGCTAATTGTGAACTACCACATTCAACTGAGCGCTATTACTTACTAATTTGTTAATCAGAGTTTCTTGTTAGTTAATAGTTACTAGAATGTTTGTACTAAAATTTGTTCCTGTGTAGTATATTCACTAATGAAGGAACAGTATTCTAAAGTGCTACTGATAGATCAAATACTGGCCATGTCAGGTTATTGTGTCAATGTGACATAATATAATCAAATAGGAACAGTAAGTAACTTATTAGGTCCGTGTCAGATATTGATGCATGCAAATGAGTCAAGAAGCCTTTTAGAGTTATAATTCTCAATCGTTGATTATAATCTATATAATAATCAATGTTTCTGTATCTAAGGATGTTTTCTCATGCTGCGATACTATACTCTTGAATGGATGAAAAAGAGATGTGAATTGAGTTTGGATGGGGGCAGTACAGGATCTGTTATGTTACAGTGCAGAGATGGTGTTTTATAAGTGAGTAGGCCTACTGCGTCGAATGCTCTCATGGTCATAATATTCAATGTTTCTCGGATGACATTGTGCTCCAGAACACAGTCTAGGGATGGTCTAATTGTGCTGTGTTTTTTTTATCTTATTTGTGTGAAAGTATTTCAAAGTAATAGCTTATTTTTTTTCAAGAAACTCTTGTTTCAGCAATATTTTTGTGTAAATCTGCTGTATGTAATCTTTGAGTTTGTATATTTGAGGTTACAGTAATAAAAAAAAATGTTTTACCAATATTTGCAGTAATATCTTTTAAAAATATGTAAAAAATATTTTCTAATATAAATTATATTTTTCTATTTTTAGAGCTTTGTGATTGTGTAGTATAATTAACAAAAACCTGAATATTCCATTGGGTGTTGATGTATGTCTTTTAGTAAGCTTTCTCTTTGTGGCACATATCGACTGCTTGGAATTGTATTGCTTTTCGTGTGAAAACATTAAACTACTATTCTTTTTAATGTCCAGTCAAAAAAAAAAAGACATTTATTGAAACTAACTTGCAAAAACTGACATTGCTGACTGTCTCCAATTACACTCCTTGTCAGTTACACATGATTGTTGTTGAGTACAACAATATAGGAAGCAACAAGTCTTTATTTGTATATTATGAGTGAGTTATTGAATCATTCATTAAAGGTGCTCTATGTAACTTTTAGCGGCCTCTAGTGGTGATGTTTCAGATTGCAACCAAATTTTACAAGAGCGCTTGTGCTCGAACTCATAGACAATACCGTCTATTACGCAAATATCTCGGCGAATACTAGACGGATTCGGCGAGCACCGAGCTCGTTGGGACCATCTAGTCGAGCTGAAAAGAACCATATAAGTTCCATAGTTTTTGGTGGTGTTTTCGCGGAGATATTAGCAGAAAACCATCGGGCGCGCTGCAAAATTGCGGACGCCGGTGACGTCACGATCTCAGAAGAAAATCGCTCGTATCTCTGGAACGCAAAGACCCAGAGAGCTCAAATTCGGGGGAGGAGGTCCCAGGGGAACCCTTACCCGAACGCTAGAGTGGCGGGCCTCGGGGATGCCCCCTACCGGATCGCCGTTCGCTGGGACCCCCGATTTCGAACGGCTATAACTCGGGGAGTTGGACCTCGGGGGTGGGCTCGTTCGAAAGGCCCCGTCCAGCACTACGAACGATTAGAGTCTTGGGAATATTGATTCCCAAGATTGACTGAGATATAAGTAGGGGTGGGAATCTCTAGGCACCTCACGATTCGATTCGATTACGATTCAGAGGGCTGCGATTCGATGCTAAATCGATTATCAGAATCTTTTTTTTGTGTGTGTGTGACTATAAATACTTTGCTTTAAAAGTACAAAGTAATGACCCATAAAGAATTAACGTACAATATATTTTATTAACATTGCAAAGAACCAACAGGAAAATACATGTGTGTCTGAACTAGCAGCAGCATATTTGTAGTAAATTAATAATATAACAACGACCGGTAACGTTACAGCCGAGTGTTTTTCCTCCTCTGGCTGGAAACGTGTCATTTGGCTTCATGTGTCTTGTTTCCGAAATATTTTAGTTTTACTCTACAAAGCTTACAACTAGTGTGGCTCTTGTCCAGCTCCTTTCCCCCTTCAACTTCAGAAGCCAAAATATTTCCACACGTCAGCTTTTAACGAGGAGGGTGTTTGGATTTGGCGCTCAGCCATCGCGTCCGCGTCTGTTATGTGCACGCCACAGACGGTCCGGCCACTGCACTTCCGCGCTTCAGAGTTCCGTCTTTCGCGTTCCGTCAATATTACGTTATTATAAATATATATCTAAAAAAAAATTTTTTTTTTTGAAAATCGATTTTTGACAATTGTGAATCGATTCAGAATCGTCCACGTCCGCATCGCGATGCATCTAAGAATCGATTTTTCCCCCACCCCTAGATATAAGCCGAAAAACGTGCGCCTTTAACCGGACGTAACTCCCTGACCGTCTACAATAGACTGTATATAAGGAGAGAGGCTCGGGAGCGCGCATGCACGTCACATCCGTTGGATTTCGCAAAACTCGACAAGTGGATCATTTTAATGTGTGATTACAACCCCTTCACACACAGGCAATAAAAAAAGGATTCATTTTAGTAGAAAAGTTACATTGAGCACCTTTAACTGATTCAATAAAAAACTGATGAATTCAGGAAGGACACTGTTTTGCTCAAAGCGCAAGAGCTTTGGCCTCGTATGTAACTATTTCTATTGCTGGAGCAAATATAGACAAAGAAACTGCCAATACTGTCTCTAAAATGTAAGTTATTCAATATTGACCTCTTGTTTTTGGAACTAAAATCAATATCACATTTGCAATTATGTTCTTGCTTTGAACAGCTGATCTCTAGCTAAACTCAAGATCCAAAACAGTCATTTTACAGTAACAGCAGTATCATTTTGAAAAAATATGTTTACAATCATATACACAGGAAATGAAGACTTTAGTTATATCAGTGAGCAGGTTTCTCAATGGAAATATCTAGCCTACTGCTAACTTTGTTTTGGTACTATTTAAAAAAAGAATGTTTATGTAATTTATTTTATGGTACTACCTAATGGTTACATTTAGCAGCACAGATTAAATAAATTACATAAACATTCTTTTTTTTTAAATAAATAAACTAAAATTGCTGAGTACATGTAGAAACCAGGTAGAAACAGGCTGGTGATGGTGACCTCTAGTGGCTGTAAGTAGTGACGCATGTAGAAAAATCCGACCTGCATTGGCCCATATCAGGATATTACTGTATGTCTTTCTCTGTGTGCTCAAGGGAGGTGGGCTGAAATGTTTTCATTTATGATTTCTAAAAATCACATTTTGACTAATTTATCTGCTATCTTTTAAGTGGTGTTTCCTTCCTTCCTGTTAAGCATTTGAACTGCTCCAGTAAACACAGTTTACATGGGCGGGATAGAATTCGACATTTAATAGTGGTTACGTAATCCTTAAAGCTGTAGGACATTAACCCAATCAATATCTTCAGGGGTTTCAGAAAAGAATTCCAAGTGTGGCTCTACTTCAATTCTATGTTGTCAATGTAAATTTGCTTATGTAGGCTATGCAATAAAATATTATCTATTACATTTCTTTGATGCAGTGGACTTGCAGTAATAAAATCAGATTAAGGCAACCCTGGCAACCTTTCAGTCTAAGCTATTAATAAACCACAGTAATTCACCACTTACAACGCTGGCAGTCCCAGAAACGACCACAGACCCCCTTGGGACCAGATTTAAACAGCATGTCACTAGTCAATCAAATAACCATGGTGACAGTAGAATGGCCAATTCCCAGTTGCAATCACAAGGCGAGAGCAGCTGATTCTGTCTTTGAATGAATTTTAATAATGCAGGGGTGAGTGTATCCATTTGTAGATGTTGGTAAACCCATCTGTCAGTTGGCAGGCTAACCAGCTGATGACCAGACTGTAATGTTTCAGACATCATGCAATTGCTACTGCTGAGCAAACACCACAATGACATACAAAAACCTTCTGATTTACCACAGCAGGATGAGGGATTGAGAAAAGAAACAGAAAGCTATAATCGGTTAAAAAAGAGAGAAGTAGAAATGGAGAGAAAAATGCTTAGAACAAGAGACAGCACGAGGCTAGTGGAACTTCAGCGTGTGCCACTGGTGTTGTGTATCAATGGCAGAGAGTCAATATGGTTTTGAAAAATATTCTGATATGTTCATAAACTGACAAAAAAAACTGGAGTAGGATTTACTTTGAAACTATTTCAAATAATTACAAAAAAATGGCAAGTCATATTGAATTAAACATGAAATTTTGAAAATACATGAAAATACATTTTTAAAAAGCTCAGAAAATATTTTTTTATGAGATAATTATGTGTTTGTCACGATCAGATCCAGATGAAGATGATGAAAACAGTTCAAACATTCCATCGGGTGATGCCATCTTCCATCGGCATCACCAATACTACGTTAGACTGGTTCACATCTTACCTCACTGGCCGCGCTCAGTTCATCCAATTTAAAGGGGTCATATAATGGTACATGCACTTTTACAAGTTGATTGACAGCATCGTTTCAACACAGACCCGCCCGCGCTCGGGAGCGAGCTGTCAATCATAGTCTGCGCGGACCGGCGCGGTCATTGTTGATATGCTGGAGCACTGTCTATGAGCAGAATGGCGTCTAAGCGATTGTGGTGTTCTGTTCTTGGGTGTAATAACGAACACAGCAGTCATTTTAATCTTCCTAAATCCGAACCGCTGAAGACGCAGTGGCTGAGTTTTGTTTTCGAAGGGAATATTCCCCACGAGCAACGTCAATGCTTTCATGTTTGCGCGAATCATTTCTCACCAGACTGCTTTATAAACGAGGGTCAGTATGAGCTGGTTTTGCTAAGAAGCTGCTCATGAAAAAAGGATCGGTACCAGATATTCGTGTTACTGCTGAATCTCCAGAAGAACGGAAGTGAGTGTAACGTTTTATTAAACTTTATATTAATATTTATATTACTCTTTGCAAATCGCTAGCTGCACGCTTCACAATGAACGCGTCTAAGGTTTACACTTAGGGTACATTACGGCATGTTTTCTATGTATGATGTTCTCAATATAATTCATAATCCCACGTTTATACTGAACAACGCGTTATGGTTATTGTGTTATTGTGTTACAAACGGTGTACGAACAGAACAGAGAGGCGGGGTGAGCAAAGCTCATTATCATTTAAAGTCATATGCACTGAAATGGCGTGCTGAAAACAGAGCTGTTTTTGACCAAGTAAAATAAGTGTTTTCTTACAATACTAATGAGAATTTTTAATTAAAGTATATTACAAACTTTTAATTTAGACCCTAAAGAATCATACTACCTTGTACAAAAATGGCATTATATGACCCCTTTAAGTCTTTCAAATCCAGTCCCTCCATCGTCACTTCTGGTGTGCCCCAGGGCTCTGTCCTGGGGCTTCTACTTTTCATCATTTATCTCCTTCCCCTGGGCAATATATTCCGCAAATTTAACATTCAATTCCACTTTTATGCTGATGACACCCAGCTCTACCTCTCGACTAAACCCTCGTCCTCTCTCCCGCCCACCTCCCTTATTGACTGTATCTTGGAAATAAAAACCTGGTTTACCCGAAATTTCTTCAAATTAAACAGTGATAAAACTGAGGTTCTCCTCATTGGCACTAAATCCACTTTATCCAAAACCGACAGTTTTTCTCTCACTATTGATAATTCCTCCGTTTCACCCTCCCCCCAGGTTAGGAGTCTGGGTGTCATCCTTGACAGCACATTTTCAGTCCCACATCAATAACATTAGCCGGTCTGCCTACTTCCATCTACGAAACATTAATCGCCTCCACCCCTCCCTTACCCCACACACTGCCGCCGTCCTTGTCCACAGTCTTGTCATTTCCCGTTTGGACTACTGCAACTCTCTCCTTTTCGGCCTCCCTCACAAATCCCTTCATAAACTTCAACTGGTCCAGAATTCAGCTGCCCGCATCATAACTCGAACCCCCACCATCCACCACATCACTCCTGTTCTCCAACAGCTTCACTGGCTCCCGGTCCAGTTCCGTATCCAATTCAAAATCCTTCTGTTAACATTCAAGGCCATCCACAAACTCGCCCCCCCCCCCCCCATATTTGTCTGATCTCCTGCAGGGTCCAACTTCCACCCACTCCCTTAGATCCTCTTCCTCCATACACCTGTCTGTCCCCCCTGCCCGTCTTATACCATAATAGGAGTAGAGCATTTAGCCGCTCTGCTCCACGTCTCTGGAACTCATTACCACCCCAACGATTCACTCTCCCATTTCAAATTGCAACTCAAAACACATCTGTTTAAAACTGCCTATTTCACTTAATGTCAATTGTTCTGCCTCTTTCTGTTGTTGTTTATTTATTTCTGGTGCTTTTAAATGTCTTATGTATCCCTGTACGGCGTCCTTGAGTGCCAAGAAAGGCGCCTTTAAATAAAATGTATTATTATTATTATTATTATTAAACAAGTTTCCACCAAAAAAAAAGGTTCTTTAATAAAACTAACTTAGGTAATCCAATAGCAGGAAGGTAGATACACGAACAATACCAGACACCAACTGAATGAAAAGGAGGAATGTGATAGAACTCAAATGAGGAGCAGGTGATGACTCGTTAATCAGAAACCATAGACGAGGAGCGGGAAAATGCAACAAAGAAAAACAGGTGACTGTTCTGACCATTTGTTTTCAACAGGAAAGTAAAATATTAAAGCATGTTCATGTTTGTATAGCAAAACAGCATTGTACAGAACAGGAACATAGATGTTTAACGTTTCAGCGTCCACAAATAGAACAATCGGTAGGTGTAGGACTAGTGAATTTGCTTCTCTTGTCCAAACACCAAAGTTATTTTCATTATCTGATTATTTTATGGTACGTGTGCTTGAATCTGTTTTCAGTTTTGTGTCTGTGTTTGTACATGAGTGCAGAACTCTTTCATGCTGGTACCCTTAATCTCTCTTTATAAACATGAATTTGGAGTTCCCCTGGCCTGTGAGATCACCATGGATTTACACAGTGGGAGTCAGCGCTACTTCACGACGGCTGAAAGAGGCAACAAAAGAGCGGAACCACTGCCTTTGTTGGTTGCCATCACACTATATACCATCTGCACTAGCTGCCATCTGTTTCGTGATGCTTTAGATTAGGCCAAAATAGGGGTAAACTGTAGAGAATGGCATGATGTACCAAAAATGTCTGAGTGTGCATGAGCTGTAGATTTGCTTTTCAGCTACACTGCTTCATTGCACAGAGGCAGAGCCATGGTGTGAAAATACTGTGAATACCTTAGACAGGCTTTCCTCATGCCATCGTAAAGCAATTGTCTGTATTGCTACGTTGGTGCTGCTGTGACCTTAAAGTCCAATAAAACTGACAACTTTGCAAACGAGATCCATTATAAGATTCTTAACAGAAAGTCTGGAGCTGTGTGAAAAAGCTGGGGTTTTTTTCATCCTGCATGTTCAGACATAAACGCTTCCGTAGCAATTTGAAACCTCACTGAAAGGAGTTAATGTCCTGTTGGGGAACAAGTTACACATTGTCTATAGCTTAACCATGAATATTAAATAGCGAAGGGGAAATTCTTAGTTCTTTTCAGGATGTGGAAACCAATTTAGCGCTTTCAGAATCAGTTCTGTATAAAAAGAAATTAAACACAGGTTGACTATGATTTAGATTTTTTTGTATGTAACATTTCCTGGGTTACGTTTTATAAAAATGTCTGTCTAAGAGCTATGATTATAAGATCAGACAGATTACCTACTAATGTTTCTGAACACAGCAATAAGAGACTTATTAAAACCAATCAAACATGACCTAAGTGTAAATGTCTGACTCTATATTTATGGTCTTTCAACATCAGTCTCCTGAAACAGAAAAGCCTTTGTCAGACTTTGGCCTTCATAAATGCTGTGCGGCTGAGACGCACAGGAAGCCAGGTGCTCTAACTGATCAACGGACGGACAGCACACACACACACACACACACACACAGAGAGAGAGAGAGAGCTCTCCCTCCTACTTGTCCACCTAGCGATGGAATCTTATCAACATTATTGCTTTATTGTAGAGTTTAAAAGAGACATTTAAGAGATTGCCCTTGAAAAGACCATGTTGATAACAGTAAAGAAATGTTTTGCATCAGTTTGTCTGTATTTTTTATTTAGCCCTAATGCAAAAAAGAAAGCCTATATGCTAAACTACTGTATAGCCAATGTTCACAGGCATTGCACCCCCCTTTCTATATAGTACCTGTAGCCTATAACCTTTGTGTAATTTCTATTTCATAAATATAGCACATAACAGGGAACCATGTTACAATAGTTTAATTGGACAACTTTTTTGACCATCAAGCTTTTTAATGCTGTCATCTATTCGATTTGATGGAGTTTGAGACTGACTGTTCAGCTCCTAGACTAGGCTTTTCGCATGACTAGCCTTAGCCTACATGATAATGTGACACGAGCTCCTTCAGTTGAGTTTTCACACGCTCTGAGGGACTGACTGAGTCACTGTGCGCGCGGTGTCTGAGTGTGAAAGTCGCATTTATCGCTCTTCCACTGGTTTTATATTACGCGTGTTTTGACATGTAGGCTACTGTCTCACCGGGAACATTACTTCAAAATAACCAGCGACCTTTTACGCGATTTCACTGACCGTTTTCCGAAAACCAACTGTTTTGTGTAGGCTACGAGAGCCAGATAGTTCTACGCTTTCTACGTTTGTGTATGAAAGGTAAGACAATTTCTCTAAATGTTTGCCAATGTGATGCACGATATGATCTCCGATCACACTCTGTGAGGAAGGTGTTAGAGTGTGAATTGTATGGTTTCATACATTTTGATCAGAATCCATCGCTTTTGCTTTTTTACTTGTGAAATGGGGGTAATTTGTACCTTCGCCGTTAGTTTAGATTAAACTGATATACTAAAAAATATTAACCGAGATGTTGAGCTAGTTGTCACTTTTTAATTTGTCAAACAACATAAAACTCCTTTACACTATTAAACGCTCTATGTGGGGTTGTCACATTAAGAACAATAATAACTCTGATAATAAAAAATTTGACAACCTGCCCCTGTCTGATATCTAAGAACAATATCCTTTTCAGTTAAGATCTACCTTCATTATATAGCTGACCATTGCCATAATTGATGCTACAGTGTTGTTGTATTGTGTTCACTTGTTTAGAGCTATTGCAAAATATTTCGATATTGAAGATTTTAGTTTGAAGGGTTGAATTCACAGTAATTGGGTGCTTAAAAGCCCAGCCTATATGAATGCACTGCTATAAACACATTTTGTTATCAAAACCTGAGATATAGCCCATGCCCATGTGACAACTAGCCCCAGTCTCCCTTAATTCTTTTGTATTCAAATAAATGGGCTGGGTTTTTGTATTTTCCCTCATGTTTTGCATGTGTTTGCAAGTACACTAAAAGAAGAAACTCTCAAAATGGCCAAATTCTGTTAAATGAATACCAAATAATGAGCTTAAAGTAACACATTATCACATCTTAACATGCAATAATCAGGGTTAGATTTGACCTGAGCTAACCTCAACCTTAATAAATAAACATGCAGTTTTTTCTCATGCATTTCTCTCTATTTTCGTGTTCGTTTCTTTCGACATTTCACGCTCACTGCAGTAATATGAGACAAGGATCTCCTTGGGGAAATTGGAGCGCAGGTGGAGGAGCAGCACCCGCATATTTACTCCGAGGCTATGAACAAATCAAAGACACACTGAGACTGTGTGCTTTAGTGAAACCCTCGACAATCCTGTAACCCCCCCCCAGTCAGTCCGCCTCAATAGAAAGGAATGCTTCCTTTATCTGCCTTCTATAACTGACTGAGAAGATTGAGCCTGTGACTACAACTGTCATATATGCTTTTATTATTTCTGCAAATTCGAGTTGAATTTAGATACAAAAGAAATGTTCTTTAAGAATTGCTGGTATGCTTATTAAATTCCAAACGAAGATGTTTTCATTTTAGCTTCTCTTTATGGTTTGTAGTGTACCGTATGTTGGTTTTCCTGTCTGAACCATGGTGGTTTGATCTGTGCAACTAAACGTCAGTAAGTTTTTCGCTGTAATGCAACTTAGCTTCAGTGCATTCGACACTAAATGATCGAAAGACCTTGGCCCTCAGTCCCTGCTACTTGTCAGTTCAGCTCAGAATGAAGTGAGCTGAAAGGCCTCTCTCTTTTTTGTATGGCACTGATGTCACAAAGGAAAAGCACAATAGCTTGACCTAGTTCATCTCAAAGTTCACATTCTTGTTCTGTGCGGGTTGTTAGCTTTGCTAGACACAACATCAGCCGTGGAAATACTGTACTATCTTCTGTGGTTTATCTCTCTTGAGGCTTATATATAGCACTTCAAAACAAGTTCAACAATCATTTCGAGAGATATTATCAGAGCAACGACATTCAGGTAGCTGAAAGACTCATGACAACACAGAGGTTATTAAAATTTCCACAGAGTCATTATAACTAAAAGAGAAAGTGTTATATGATTGTGCATGGTTTGTTTTTTAATGACTGTAGAGTGGGAAATAACATAGTAAGGGTGAGAGAACGTTATGAATATGCAACATGCTCCCTGTATAAATGGACTTCACCAGCTTTCCTTCAGTGGTCCTTGGAGAGAAAAGGGACATTCTTTGACTGCTGTGAGGTCCACATAGCTGGAACAATGGCAGAGGCAGAGAGGGCCAGAAAAGGCGGAGGCATAGACGCACCCTTCTCAAACATAGCACAGAGGAACTGGCTGCTCTCAGTGGTAGCCAATATGCTGCTCTGTAATAGCCACATTGGGCTGTAATTTTTATACAGTGCATTGCTGACATGTTTGGACAAAGACACACACACCATAGCTAGCATAAAATCATTTTTACAGTGTACACTCACCGGCCACTTTATTAGGTACACCTTGCTAGTACCGGGTTGGACCCCTTTTGCCTTCTTTTCTTCGTGGCACTCGTGGGATATTTTCTCTTTTTCTGACTCTCTGTAAACCCTATGGTTGTGCGTGAAAATCCCTGAAGATCGGGAGGTTCTGAATTACTCAGAGACCAACATCCTCGCCACATTCAAAGTCACGTAAATAACCTTTCTTCCCCATTCTGGTGCTCAGTTTGAAATTCAGCAGATTGTCTTGACCAGGGCTGCATCCGAGAGCTTAGGCAGCTGACTGGCGATGACTTTGCAGGCAGCGTTTGCCCACAAAGGGATCTGCTGAAACTGATTTTGGGCAGTCTTCTGAAGCAACATAACTGTTTAATGATCTACAACAAAATATAGAGAGCTTTGGTGATAACTTAGAGAATATTCAATTACTACAATACTAATTTCTCGCTAGAAATAAGGGCTGCATGATTTAGGGGAAAAAAATGTAGTTGCAATTTTTGTGGTTAAAATTGCGTTTGAAATTTAAAATGCGATTATTATATATGCACCGAAATTATCGACCAGTATTTGGGCGAAAGAGAAAAGAGGTCTTAAAGGTGCTGTATGTAACTTTTTTCACTCTACTAAAGCATAAAAATGCCATAATATGTTTGCATATATTGAGGAAACATACTCGGTCTCAAAACTAAGTTCACATACTCGTTTCTTTGAAAAACACTTCTACAGATGTGCATTTCCAGGCTGGAATGTTTGTTTTTGTTTTGGTTTGTGTGATACTGCACGTTGCCAATTTGCCAATTTTCAAATTTCAAATTAAAAGTCAAATAATAATACAATTATACAAAAAGATTATTTAAAATAATAAATGTATAATTATTATAATGAAAGTCATTTTCAGTTTCGATTTTCGGCCAAGTGCATCCAGAATATTTCGGTTTCGGGGAAGAATTTTCATTTTGATGCATCCTATATCACCCAGCTTGTTTTTTGCTTTTATATTAATATGACAAATAATTATTAATTATAATAAATAATTACTGCTAAATGAAAATATAAAACAAAATTAGAAATATTACTATTGTAATAATTTTATTATTAAAAATAAAACATTGAGTATTTAAGAAAAAATACAATAAGAAAATAACAATAATAATAATAAAATATTTTTATTTTACAGAAATTTATTTTAGGAAAATTGCAAGGATAAGCCAGTGGCACATGTTGCGATTTTTGCTGTCGTACAAGCTCGCAGGCAATTTTTTCTCTCTCTGGAGAAATAGCTTGGAAATCATTGATGCTCGTATGGTCATGGCTCGCATTGTGTGAGAAGAATTACTTGCGGAGCCGAGCATATTACGAGCATCCTTACCTCCCGATAGTTTTCAAACATGTTTTAGGGGGTATAGGCTGGGGTATAGGGGTATAGGCTGTCCCCTATTGCCAAATCCTACACAACCACGTCACATAGGCTAGACTTAGGCCACGTTTACACATAGCCGGGTATTTAGAGAAACAAATATTCCCCCCCCCCCTCCGTTTTCAATAATAACATTGTGCACACAACATCGTTTTCAAAAAAGTTGTCATTTACATCAACCCGCATAAATACGCCGTCGAGCGCCATCATAACTATGCCAAACTTTAGTTATCAGAAATCTCTGATAACTAAATCAGAGATTTCAGAAATCAGAAATCTCCACTTTGGCCGGAGTTTTTAGAAATAATCGTTTTCTGTGATAACTGGGTTTTCATGTAAATGAGAGGCCAAACCGCAGGGAAATGTCTGCGTCTTCCCTTCGTGTAAACGGGGCATTAGCTACGCATATTGTTATAGGCCAGTAGCTGCAACCCTAGCGTGCGCATACACTGACACACAAAAATACACTCTTGTTTTTGTTGAAAGGCATTGCTGTGTTCTTCTCTGCTTTTCACCAAATCATTTGCACACTCGTCTTTTTATTTTCTTTCTTTCTATCCGAAGCTATAGCAGCAACATTGAAGGCTCCAGTTTGCATGTTCAGTGTGAAAGCAAAGCACATGTGATTGCCACTGACTCGCCGTGCAGGCGTGCCGTGCACTACCAGCTGCTTTGACGCAATTACCAGGTTAACTGACTCGTGACGTATGTAATGGCTCATGATTTCAGCAAGGTTTCCAACTCACACTGTACAAGTAGATTGCATGCGATGTAAGCAAAAGCTCACAAGCTATGTGTGTCACAGTTCTGCAAGAGAGAGAAGACTCAGAATGAGCAGTGATGTTTTATTGACCAGACTGTAGACAGGGCACAACAAGGAGAGCGAGGCATTAAACAATTCAAACAGTAGGGCAGGGCAGACGACACGATGACAGACAGGGAGGATGACCACTGAGACCAGTTGCGCATAGCCAGACCTTCAGACTGACGACAGAAGGTCTGGACTATCGCAGCTTTTCTTAGCCAAGGACCGCCCAAGAAGACGTTTGACTGACATGTAACGCAACTAATCACAGTTCGTTATGTTTAGGCGTGAAAATATAATGTCGATGTCTCTACAATAACAGACCGGCGTGCATCTAATAAATTATTCGTTGAAGAACATGCAAGTTTACTGCAACAATGGAGACGCGAACTTCACATAATTTTGAAAATCCAGCGTTTAGTTGATCCTGGTAAGTGCTCATTGTCAAGTTGTAAATACAACGGCGTTCTTTTTCCACGAGGGGTTTGGGCGTCAGATCACGACTTCGAAACTCCTGAAGTGTTTCTAGAAAAATGTGCCATATGCATCAGACATTCATCCAATGGTCCGTGGGCGTGACGTCTGAGGCTGAGACTAGT